CCCCTTCCCTACCCCCCCCAGACCTGACCCTCCCCAATTCTTGTCATCCAAATCCTGATGTCCACAAAGACATGTCCGGCGCAGACATCCCCCACAAACTTGCGGATTGCCCGGACAATTTGATCGCTGCGATGGTCACCACACCTGGCTCTACTCTAGGTTCAGATCGCTGCTATGATTACCACATTGTGTCTGCTCGAGATCCGGATCGCAGTTACGATTACGACACTTGACTCTTCTCTACTCAACCCAAGACGAGCTGCGGATGCGTGATCATACATAAGTTTGGAAAAAGATGAGTTGATGCATGGAGGTAGGAAGACACATGAAAGCATGTGCAACATCCAAGCAGAGTCAGCAGAGTCAGCTGCTGCTGGCAGTGCCCCGACCAGTTTAGATTGACGGAAGGATTACTCGGCAATCGCACACAGTCAAGATTGACAAAAGAAATACAAGTGCAATAATGAGCTGCAGACGGAAGCAGATACGACATGAAAGCAGAGTCATCTGCTGCTGGCAGGGCCCTGACCAGTTTCCATCATGCACCTGTGATGAGTCTCATGACCATCAAAAGATTCAAAACCTAGGCTACCAGAATGGCCCGGGACCACTTGCCCGGCCGGGCCAAAACCCAAAACAGAAAAAAAAAAAAATGCTTTTCAAAAAAAAAAATTCAAATCCGGTAAGGAACTTCGATATCACCCTGCCGCAAAAGTTGTTAGTTTATTTTTCTTCATAACATAGTTTTTTTTCAGCTTTTCTTTTTTCTTTTTTTCTTTTTTTTTTGCCGGGATCTTCATTGGTCCTTGCACGGCCGGGCCGCCCAGGGAAACAAGGTGACCCGGGTGGCCCGACCAGTAGCCTAGTTCAAAACCCAAAAAAACACTCTCCTTGACATGTTCAGTTGCTCTGCCAGTAGAGCATACCAGTTTGAGATTTAAAAAAAAAAAAAAAAAAAAAAAAAAAAAATTCCAACAAAAAGCACGGCAAACTTGGGCAAAGTGAATAGTAGTATAGTACTGAATACCAAGTTGTTTTCAAAACCACAACTTTTTGAGATGTTGTTTCCCCTTCAGGGTGGAAGTTCTGGCAAGGAGAGAAATATTGTTAATGATGGCTGCTACTGAGAGAGTTAGAGAAACCCTCCTGGGGCGAGGTCCCACGAGCAAAGAGTATTGGATACATATCCTGAATCTGGAAGTGTTCTAACCAGAGATGCAGAAAAGCAGTTGGATCTCGATTTTCTGCACGTTTCCACAAACAAGTCCAGATTCAGGCACTCAATCCAATCCTCTTTGCTAGTGGGATCTCGCCCCCGGGGAAAAAGGAACAGCCAAAGAAGACAATAAGAGAATACTCTCTCTGCCCACTGGAAGCTGAAGAGTCTAACGGACTCTTAACCTCTTGTTTGATCTTGGCAGCCTCCGCTCGCAGTTCCTCGTTCGCACCACAAACATTGGTATATAATTGAGACAGTTCGTGCTCTGACTCGGCAATCTGCACAAAAAGCATCAATAAAATTGTTATCCAAGCATGACTATAAGTTCTATAAGGCTATAATTGATTATTCAAACTATATAGTCTTAAGAATAGGAATAAAATGTATGTTCATATATGCATTCCATAGAAGCCGGACAGTTCTAGAATATCGCTGTATCAGCTGCTCCGTCAACGAATTTCAGAATATTAAATATTTGCAACTCAGTGTCAAAATGAAAATACTCACGTTCCACAGCAGAGGGCGTCGCCGCACGGCAGGCACACGAAACGAAAAACGAAACGAGTGCATCTTCCGGCAGAAAATGGCCAGGTTCATCGGTTTGCTATAAAGAGTAACGAATGTATTGTGCCACCTTTCGTGGGCAGATGCACTCGTTTCGTGTCCGTTTCATGTGCCGTGTGGCGAGGCCCATAATTGCCTCAGGCAGGACTTGAACCCACGACCTGTCTCATATAAAGATTGATTAGATGAAATGCGCCCCATTACCGTCTTCTGCCAAGTAGAATCCTGGGTCATTATGGTCTGGAGTCTAGACTGAATGTTAACCCAAATATATATAGCTACAACCGTATAAAGCCTATAATGACCGCGGCGTGTATGCCATTTGGGAGGAAGACGGGGTCACGGGGGTGATCCACACCATAGTGCAAGCGCAGGAAAGCAATCCCCACGCCATAATGCTCAGGTAAAAACATGTACATGCCGGCAAACACGAGTTCAAGGACTGATGCACAGGCGATGATAGGGGTTGCTTCCTCTTCAAAAATAAAACCCTAAACAAACAAAAGAAGAATCAGGCAGACGCTTTCTTCAGGACTTTGCATTTGTTTTATTTTGAGCCGCGAAAAAAACAGCACCATGAAACTTTGCTACAGGTTTCAGGTAGCATAATAGCGCACTCAGGGCATACTTGCACTGGGACTTTCCTGGATGCATGTGGCCATATTTACGACCAAAATCATTACAGAATGTGCTGCTTAGGAGCCCAAGCGGGCTAGCTCAGTTGGTTGAGCAATGAGGACGTAAGTGGCACTCAGGAGGTCGCGGGTTTGATACTCGACGTCGTTCTTTCGATTCCCGTGGCCTCCTGAGGTTTAGGGTTTAGGGTTCACCAGCAGAGATGATTGGCTTGGGCCTCCTGGCTGGTTGCGGAAGCGAGTGTGGCAATCTTTCCAGCCTATATCAGGTGTTAGGAGCTTGGGTTCCGCTCCCCGCACGGAGCAGAATGAAGCCGGTATCAAGTACTATCAACCCATAACCCTTAGGGCCGCCCAGACTGCGTGCATAGATAGGCTTCACTGAAAAATGCAACTGGACAAGGAGTAGATAGGTAAGGCAGCGGAGATACGGCAAGTGGTCCACACATGAAGAGTGTATCATTCCAGGCAGATGCACCTGTCCATCTGCACCTCCTTGTCCGTGTCATGCACTTGGACATCTGCACGTCCTGATGCATGCCATGCACTTGGACATGTGCACGTCCTGATGCATGCCATGCACTTGGACATGTGCACGTCCTGATGTGTGCTAGGTAGGTAGGTAGCGGGAGGTATACTGAGAGAAGAATATAGGTTAGTTAAAAAAAAAAAAAAAAAAAAAAAAAAAAAAGAAAAGAAAAGAATGTGCTGCTCAGTATTCCCTCCAACTACTTTGCCTGCTGCAATCACATCCATCTGTCCAGCACATTCACAGAATGCTTCAGCACGTACATTCACAGGGCACAACTGTGCAATCAGCCCAGTCGCGGTCGCACTGCGATAATGTCACACAGTCTGTCTCACTCTGTCACACATCCAATTTGCTTCAGTGGCACAGGAACCCACCCACACTACCATCTTCCCCTGGACATAATACTGTCACACTGTAATACTGCCCCACATCCATGTGCTATATAGGATGTCACTGCACTACTCACCCAATGTGCAAAATGAGGATGAAATTTCTGCAAGAACATGGAAAGATACACCGCCATAATTTTTGTCTTTTGTACATTTGGTGAATGGTGCGGCGAGGCCCATGAGTTCTTGGGGAAGACTGTGATAGTAATCAGGGGAAGACAACTGCCCTGAATTGGCGAGCTGCGTTTATCAGGGGTAGGCTACTGTCGGACTATCCCCTCAAACTGCTACTGTCTTCACCTGGACATGATTCCTGGGGAGATACTGTCACAACGATGGGGCATTGTGTTCAGATGACCAGTAGCAGTAATCCTGTTTGCTACCTGGGCACACTGTAAAGCACATCACACATGTCACACATCCACTGTCACACTGTCCCATCAGCCGCTCTGTCGATGTGCGTCCATTGCTATCACGCTATTTGGTAGTCACAGTAGGTTCTACTTGTGTATTACTGGTTCATCAAATGAAGGGGGAGGGGAAGGAGGGAAAAGTACATAAATGGCCCATTCACACCTGGGAACGGAAAAAGCAGCCCGGTTAGAACGCACTTGGATGCGCAGATGTCCAAGTGGATGATAATATGCACCAGGATGTGCCTATGCTCAAGTGCATTGACATGCATCAGGACGTGCAGATGTCCAAGTGCATGACATGGACAAGGAGGTGCAGATGGACAGGTGCATCTGACCGGGCTAGCATAGTCCTTTCAAGCATGAAGGGGCTATCTCTATCCTCGAACCCCGCCCCCGCCGCACCACCACCCCCTTCCACAAAAAAAAAACAGTCAGCGCAGATCACGGATCCCCCCCCCCCCCCTTGCCCGCCACTCATACATAAAAAAAAAAAAAAAAAAAAAAAAAAAAACAACTTTCAAAAAGAGGGAAAAGAAAGGCAAGCGCAGAAATTGGTCATTGTAGGAATTGGCTTGAGCTTCGCTTGATGAGTAGGGCTTTATAAATAAAATATATATTAAAAAAAAGGCGTACGGCTAAGAAGAAGCCTACAGGGGGGGGGGGGGAGGAGAGAGGAAGAGAGTGGAAAGAGAAATAAGTGGTGCTTTGTCATAAATGCCTGTGCGGAACAGAGGGGCAAGAGTGAAAATAGAAAGAAGAAGGGGTGCTTTGCCCTGACTGCTTGTGAGCCTTGGGGTTGGGGCCACCCTTGCATCAAGTTGTGGATATTGTGGATGGGGTTGTGTACCCTCATGGTATGAAGTCATGTGCTCGATGGAGGTAGTGTGCGACATGTGCCAGGGTGGTGTTGTGTGTTGTGGATTTTCACCACCACACTCCCTGTTCCACCCAGCTGAGTAGATTCAATATCGATCCAGCTTTACCTCTATTGCAGACAACGACGCACACTTGAGATGAGCCATTCCAGCAATGAAACAGTTTAACCTCTACAGCATGCAAAATGGAGCAGGAAAACACACACACACACGCACCTTTATATCCCTTTCTTGACTATCTTTACTTTGGCTTTCATCGGGGTGTTGTGTGTATGTCTGGAGTACGGTAAGGCGTCTAAGGACACTACAGCCATGCAGCGGTGGGGGGATATCACGACCGGTATGGTTCGACTTTTTGTACACCATGCCATGGCGGTAGTGGTTACGAAACTCGGCTCTTGAGGCTGAGAGCGCTGGTTCAAATCCGTGCGTGCACGGACGAGGTCCAAAGCCGGAAAAAGTACTGACTGACTGACTGACTGACTTGGCCTGAGACTCTCAGATCCCATAGAAGTTGGTTTGAGAAAATAGGGGTAAGTACGTTCATGTCACCTTTGAGTATCGAATGGGCCAAAAAAACACGCATCGGCAAAGAAAACCGCGCCGACTTCGAAAAGGCAACGGAACTACTGACGGCCGTGGTGTCAGACCGGCGGGTGTCATATTTACAGGAGTCGGCCGTGGTGTCAGAGGAGAAAACAAAAACAAAAAGGAAAATGCCCAACGGATACTTTTGGACCGCAATCACTCATTTCGAGTTGGCGCGTGGTTTCTTTGCCGGCGCGTGTTTCTTTTGCCTTTAGGGTTTCAAAACATTCCGCGTCCGCCGTTATTTCTAAAAAAATATTAGTACCTTTCTGTACCTTTCCAGGTTCTTAACCTTAAGCTCACTGAATGCACCTTCATACTCCTTGACTATTTCAGCACATCTCCTGTTCCACTCCTCTTCCAGTTGTTGCTTCTCTTGCACATGAATTTCCTTCTGTTTCTGCAGCTGCAATGCCAATACGAAATGTAGAGCAGTTCAATCAATCTTAGCTGGGAAGTGCACCGGCTTGGTGGGAGAATGGTACACATATGTAATTGACAACCACCTGCAGTTGCTGATAAACACATCATGGGGAAAAAAAAAAAAAAAGAACCAAAAAAAAGAGGTCAAATCCTGCTGGATTCTATTCGGGTGAAGACGGTAGGCTCAGTAAGCTCTGTAATCAGCCTATGTGGCTCAATGGTACATACATGGCACTCTTAGAAAATAGATCATGAGCTCAAATCCTGACAGAATCAGAGAAATACGGCAATGTTAGGGGCTACCCAGTTTCGAAAAGTTTGGTGGCCTCTGTAATCAGCCTTTAGCTCTGAGACAGCCACCGAAGCGTTTGCCACTCCCTCAATCTCAAGATGGGTGTGAGGACTTAAATCACCAGTCCGCTAGGGCCCTACCGTCTTCACCCGAACAGAACGCCCCGTCATTATCGCTGCATCTGGACTGAAAGTCGCCCCAAATGCAGCTATGATAACCGGGCGTTCTATTCGGGTGAAGACGTTAGCAATGCTACTGCAAGTGCACATGGAGGCCGCTGTCACGTTCAGCGTACAGGATGTGGAAAGGGGGTACCCAGGACTGCACAAAATTCCAAAAGTGCCTCAAAGAACTCGATGTCCCTATTTCAAACCTAAACCACCAGTACCTCAGGGGGTCTTAGGCCCCCTATGACACGAATGAATATAGACCCGTGCAGCGCACAGATTCATCCACTGCGTTAAGGCCTAAAACGGTGGTAGGTACTGGTGGAATTTGAAACAGTTGGTATGGCGTCTATCATGGTATGCAAAACACAGGCCGCGTTGGTGGAGATTTCACAATGGCCCTTCAGCACCCCTAGCACCGGCCGTGGAATTTTTCCAAAAAAAAGTAAAAATAAAAATAAATTGCCATGGCCACAAGGCTCAGAAAGCAGACGCTTCACCTCGGCTGCCTGGTTCACCACACTTTTTTTTTCACCATTGATTTTTGCGACAATCCGTCTCACTTTCAAAACTCTTCAATCTCTTTACTTCTACATGTTAGCCATCGGGCAGCCCTACATGTCACGGAAGGAACTTTGCATTGCAACCTCTCAACCCCCCAGTACTTGGCCCATACATCGGCCGCGGGCCCCTCAGCGCGACTTCCGAAGGCCGTAAACGCGACGCTGGCCATCAATGAGATTTATCAACGGCCTACCGGCCCCAAAGTTGCGGCGTGTATATGACAAGGGCCCACGGCCGATGTATGGGTCAAGTACTGGTGGTTTATCGTTCCTACCCTCCTACCCCTCAAGGACCAAAATTTATATTCCAACCCTAAATACTGAAAATTTTGAATCCCAACCCTCAAGCAGCAGCACACAGAGTTCGATGCCTGAACAAATGATCGCCAAGCTGGAATCTTTTTCCTTTTTTTTTAATTGCAATTCCGACAAGACTCTAAGCTTGGCATTTAGGAGATAAGACTTCTGAATATCAGAAGACTCCTAGATGTAGCGACACAGGGTAGGACTCTACCACACCTCGCAGTAATTGAAACTTTTGCACTATATATTATATAATGGTATAGATCACTATCTTAACTACTCAGAACAAATTTATACGTCTGGAAGAGCACGTTAAACCACCAGTACTTCCTAATTTGTGCCCGTTAACAAGCCACAATTTTAGGAAACGTACGGGCCACTACACGAGTGCCCAAATTCATCCGATTAGAAAAGTTTCTACTCTATTTTTTTTTCCGGGGCCTATAGCTGGGCTAAGTACTGGTGGTTTAAATGGCTAAGATGCATCTTCTACATTCGAACCTACCCCAACCTTCCACACTTTTAGTCATTCACTGGTTCCCAGCATCTGTTTCCCAGTGTAGAGTTTTTTGCCCAGGCCTAAGAAATCAGAGTCTTCGCGGAGGGCGATATGCCTGGTGCCCAACCCTTTCCATGACCTCATGTTATCCAGCAGGCCTTTTCAGAAATGCACACTCGAAACCTTTCCGTGGCCCCATGATAACCAGCAGGCGGTTTTTTTTTTTTTTTTTTCAATTTTAGCAGGCGTTTTTYTTAAGGCTAGAACGCCCACTTCTGGTTTAACTACAATGGATAACCTATTATATTTCCCGCAAGTCATATCCTATCTACCAGTGGTCTAAAAATAGACAGCAGCTAAAAATAGGGTGCATGACTGCAGAAGTTGACAAAGCACCTTGGATGCTTCGAGGATAAGAATTCATCCCGGAAAAAGAACAAAGAAGACAGAAAAAGCAGTCCTGAAACTGAAATCAGTGCAGTGACTGGACATTCTTCAAAGTGCCCCCTTCATGGGTGGACAGGTGGCCTGGACCTTTGTGTGCATATTATAAAAAGAGCTAGAAGACACATTCCAGTCATATCTTGATGGCATCGAAAGAACGGACCTGCTCCTCGACTTGTCGGCGGAGAGCATTGCATTCCTCCACGTGCTGTCTGTCAGAGGCAGCTAGCTCCGCCATAAGAGAACCCACTTTATCTTCCAACGCCTTCCTGTCTTTGGCAAATGCCTCTCGCATTTTCTTTAGCTGCTCTTGGCCAGCTGCTATGGACCTCTTCATCTCAACCATCCTCGCTTCCAAGGCCTTGGAAGATCCCAGCCACCTTAGCACAAGTCAACAAAGGTCCCGCAATTCTGCTCCTTTATCTCATTAACTCTTTTCAAATTCTCAAGAAGAACGAAAAAAAATAGACAGGACAGTTCTCATACGTGCATGCAGTGCACACATATGCCAAGGTGCGCACACACACACACACACACACACACACACACACACACACACACACACACACACACACACACACGCACACACACACACAGGCATGCACACACACAGGCATGCACACACAATACCCGTGGCTGAGTGGGTGTGTAGAGTGGGTTTTATAGCTGTGACACACATACACACACACACACACACACACACACACACACACACAGAGGCATGCACACACAATATCCGTGGCTGAGTGGGTGTGTAGAGTGGGTTTTATAGCTGTGACAAGCCAGTTTCTCAAACTCACTGCCATTCTTCTCAGGGGTTTGGAGACTGTAAGGGTTCAACCTCCCTATGAGTTGCTGAAAGGCCAACAAAACAGTCTTGCACAGTCATGCTGGCGTTGTGTACAGCGAACATAACAACACACACACAATCAATCATATGTATTCATGCCCGCCTGCCTGCCTGCCTTCGTTTTTATTCTTGCTTTCTGAAGCTAAGCGAGCACCTCGAAGAAGTGCCTACTAGTCAATGTCTGCTTGTTTGGAGTGCCTGCAACACTGTTGGGGCCCCATTTTGTTCCGGAAGTTCCTGGTCCTTGTGGTGTGAGTAGGTGATGTGCTGCTTTGTTCCGTGCTGGCTGTGTGGACTGCCCTTTCTGGCTCCAAGGGTGATGGGAACCGACGATCTGCAGTGTCCTCCTTGTGGTGTGAGTAGGTGATGTGCTGCTTTGTTCTGTGTTGGCGGTGTGGACTGCCCTGTCTTTGCTGCCTCCGCTGCCTTGCTGCCCATCTACTTGCCTTGCCTTTCAGTTTGCAGCTCGCCTATTTGCCGTGTAGTTTGGCTGCTTTCTCAGCGGGGCCTTGTGCCTGGCTGCATAGTCGCCTCCCTGTGCATCCACTTGCCTTGTCTTTCCAGTCTGTTTGCCGTGTACAGGGCAGCTTTCCATGCATAGTTGCCTTGACCAAACCAGAGGCTCTGTGAGTCTGTTTCAAGGGTTACAGGGTTTTTTTTTTTTTTTCTTTTTTTTTTTTTTTT